ATTCATATACAAATGTCAAAGATTGTGTACCTGCAAGTGTCATTCCTTTTGGTAGGCATCGCTGCAAGAGCCTCATGGAAAGCCAAGAGCACCAGGGTTAGGAAAGCTGGACCTCGGCCTGTCTGTTGGCTCAGGGGGCAAGTGCTGCAATGAGGGCCTCAGAAACACCTGCAAAGTGACTGTGACATCTCCGTTTCTTCTACCTCGAACATTTTGTGGTTCTTTTCCTTTGCTTATAAATTAGAATATTCATTATAAGCTAATGAGGGTATAAGTGTGGAACAACCCAGTTTTTCTTGAAACTAGACATCACATGACTAGATGAAAACATTGAAACTTGAGTCTTTATTAAAATCAATTCAAGGAAGACTTAAGGTATAGTTTGGGAGTATGTCTTCCTATTACTTTTTTGACACACATGAAGTAATATAACTGAGTCCTCATATTTTTCTACTTTCTGTGTCTCTCCTTATACCTTTTTCTCCTAGACAACTGAATAAAGCTTTTTAAAAATTTTTTCTTCCCCCCACCAACTACATCCTAACAAAGGAGCAGACTCTATAAGAATGTAAGAGGAAGCTGGCATAGTTGAGAGGATTTTGAAGGCTGATGTACTGGACACATCTACATGAGCTAGATTTGCCTTGTGGTACTCTGAACGAAGGAGCAGTATACATTAATCTAATCTATGTAGCTGCTTACCCTTTCTACAAATACCCATCCAGGTCAGACACATTGTGCTCTTTGTTTTTTTCTTTTTTAAAGAACCCTCATTGAGTCATCTCTGGGAAAATCTTAAAGTGAATCAGTGGTCAGAACCACATTCTCTGCCATCCTCTGGGTTGCCTTCCTGATTGAGGTTATATGAAGAAACTATAGAACATAATCTCTTCTGTGTGGGCATAGGACCTTAATGAGGACACCAATAAGCCTTCAGCCAGGGAGGGTCGCAAGGCCTTGAGTTGTGGACAGGGCAGGCCAGGGTTGCCTGTCCACCTGTTTTGATAAAGAATTCCTGTCTTCTTTGTGCCCAGAGTTGTTTAGTCAGGGTGGAGAGAGGATGCGGAACTTGGTGGTGTGATTGGAAGGATGAGCTCTGTAGGGGATTCTGGAAGATGTAGCAATCCTTCTTTCCTACCCCCACCTTCAGTACTTCATCCATTTTTTAATTGATTTTGTATGTTACTTCAGGAGAACTGGGGATGATAGGTATTCTTTAGGAAATGGTGACTTATTAATGCTAGGAGAGAGATGATAGCAAGCTGTATTCTAGAAATGGGGCTTAATTTATAAGATGGAGATCTTCTTAACTACAAATAGGATTATGTAATTTATAAATTTAATTTAGCAAGTGAAAAGGAGTGACCAAAGAACATCAGGAAAACTAGTGGTTATTTAAGACTTTGTGCCTTGTGAACCTAAACTACCTATTTTTCCATGTGCTACTGGAAGGAAGGGGTTTACTCTATTTGAAAGAAGAGGGGAGGGCAAAAATATGTTAGTAAGTATATCTGGTGATAATTTTATAGGTTCGTAGGTCTTCATACCGTGTTTTTAATTCTCCAGCCTTAGTTTTTTCATTTAGTAGTGCTCAGGGGTGTTAACAGGTTATGCTCTGGAGGAGTGTGAACTTGCTTGAGAGCTTTCCAAGTTCAAAGCAAAAGAAATCGGGGAATTTTGCCAATGGCCTTTGAGGATTGCATTATTTGTTTTCCTGCCAGAGCCTGTCACTAACAGCTGATTCTTCTACCAAAGAAGAAGTGACTGAAAACAGCACGGGAGCCTTCTTGGTTGGTAGGAGGTGCTCAAAGGACAGAACTAAAATATTTGGGTGGATATTAAGGAGAAGTATATTTCAAATTCGGTATAAAGGGAGTCTTTACAATAGCCGAGCCTAGCAAAAATGCGAAGGCTATTTTGGGAGGCAGAGGTTTTTTGTCATTAGAGATATTTTAAAAAAGGTTAGAATGGCCTTTTTAGGGGAATATTCTAGGGCAGGGATTAGCAAACTTTTTCTGTAAAGGATCACATAGTAAAATAGTTTAGGCATCTGCCTCAGCTACTCAATTATATTATTGTAGTGCAAAGACAACCAAAGGCAGTAAGTAAACAAATGAATATGACTGATATTTATCTGCTCTGGCTGCCCTAAGAAAATACCATAGGCAGAGTGACTTAAATAACAGAATTTTATTTCTCACAGTTTTAGCAGCTGGGAAATCTGAGATAATAGTGCTGGCCAGTTTGCTTTCTGGTGAGGGCTCCCTTCCTGGCTTGCAGACAGATGCCTTCTTGTCCTCACATAGTAGAGAGGGAGACAGATATCTATTTCTTCCTCTTCTTATAAGGCCACAATCCTAACAGATTACTGCCCCACCTTTATCACCTCATAAAAAGCTGGAGGTTAGGGCTTCAATGTATGAATTTTATGAGAGGAGTCTACCATTTAGTCCATAGCAGCTGTGTTCCAGTGAAAGTTTTTTTTTTTTTTAATAAAAACAAGAGATATGCCATATTTATCCCAAAGACCATAGTTTGCCAACCTGTTGAATAGAGAAAATCAAACACTGGTGAGAGAGTAGACTAAGTTATCTACCAGTTGATAGATTAAAAATCTGGAGGCTATCCATAAGAAACCTGCAACATTGACTGGATCAGAACAAACCTAATTCAGGGCTCATTGACTAGCGTTTCTCAGTATAAATCATTTAATAAACAAAAATAGGTATTAAGTCCAGAATTAATTTTACTTCAATGTGCATCAAATCTATGCTTTTGGCTGATGGGAGATGCAAATGATAAGCTATGCTGGGGTCATCTTTAGAATAGGCCTGCTGTAGTGCTACAGCTGTAAACAGTGCCAGTTGTAGTCTTTTGTCACTGATCAGCATACAAACCTAACTTTTTTTTTCCTTTTGCAGCAAAGCCGTGATTATTAATCTCCTCTTTATTTGTAGGAGAAGGGTCTCTAAGATATTTCTCAGCTAGTAGTCTTCTCCCTCCACTTCTTTGGAGAGAAAAATGGAAGCCACTAAATAGGAACTCCCTCTGTATTTTGCCACAAATCATAGAAAGTTAAGTGCCTCTGCACAGTCACTGCTTTTCTCCTTTCTTTCTGTGGCAGTAAAGCATGAGAACCTTTATTGCTGACTCTAACACCCTGTACCTCCAGGCTTTTTGAGATCTCATTACCAGTTTCTTCTGCGTAACTTTAAAAAACGTCCATTTTTCCACTCAACTCTTGTCCCAAGCCTGTCCCAGCATTCTATCTTGTTTAAAAATAAAAACTAAACACAAATTCAATTCCAGAGACATTATACAATGTACATTTAACAGGAAATGGAGGACAGAGTTGTACCGCACATATATAAAACTCTGCTTCAAAACTGTTTTGAAACATTCTGGCAACCCTAACTCCACACCCAAAGTTCATCCCTCATCTTTCTTTTTCCCTGTAACTCTCCTCTTCTGTCTTGTTTTCTCTTCTTTCTAATCACCACTCTTCTGTGTCTCCTCTCTGTTCCTGGATTTTTCAAGTGGCACTTTCTGGGACTTTTTGTATACAGAGAGATTTTGTATCTTTCAGCTTCTTTCATATTCATCCTGGTATATCACTGTGCTGGGACCCTTAGCAATTGTTATAAAATGCAAATCTGATCACATTCTTTGATGAAACATCTTCAATGGCTCCACATTGATCTGGGGTTTAATTGCCAAACTCCTCACCTGTGCTAAAAGACCCAGCGTCATCTGGACCCTGCTCAACTTTTCAATTATGCTGATCCCCCCTAATCAATTTTGTTATTGCCAAGTTCCTTGTTTTGGCATTGCTCTCTCTCACTCATGGGCCTTCACATGCTTCTTTGTACCCAGAGTCCTTATAATCTTCCTCTGTATTTGGCTGAGGCATCCTTCTTGTATCAGCTAGAAACCACTTTCTAAAGAAAGCATTCCTTGGCCAGGCATGGTGGCTCATACCTATAATCCCAGGGCTTTGGGTGGTGGAGGCTGGAGGATTGCTTGAAGTCAGGAGTTCAAGACTAACCTGGACAACAACGTAAGACCTCATCTTTACAAAAAATTAAAAAAATATAGCCAGATGGTGTGGCACATGCCTGTAGTGCCAGCTGCTCAGGCAGCTGAGGCAGGAGGATTGCTGGAGCCCAGGACTTCAAAGCTGCAGTGAGCTATGACTGCCCCACTGCAAGGGCAACTGAGTGAGACCCTGTGTCAAAAAAAAAAAAAAAAAAAAAAAAAGCTTTCCTTCACCCTCACTCTCTCTGTATTAGATGTGCTTTCTGACTTCCTGTTTTTATTTCTCAGGACAGCCTTTTATTTTTCCCATCCTGGTATTGTTATGCTTTTGAATTTGTCTATAGACTCTTAGTTCATGAGAGTAGGGGCCATGTTTATCGTGGTCACCATTTAATTCCCATCACTTAGCAGAGTACATGGCACATAGAAGATCCTTAGGAAGTATTTTTTGGATAAATTATCTACATTTAAAATACAACTTTATTTTTTCACATTTGATTAATTCTAATACATATAAATTTATACCTTATTACATAACTTTAAAACCCATTTACATTATGAAGTAAAATACTGTTATTTTTACTTTACTTTATAAAGTATTTTTACTTTATCAAAAGGAACAAATGCATATTATTCTTAGAAAATTTATTTTATATTTCTATTTGTCATTTTCTGTTTATGCTCCATAATGTTTTATGACTCACAATAATAGCATTTTTAGAGTAGAAGTCTACATAAAATATGTCATTTTTGTTATTCTTCAGAATGAAGGATTAAACTGAAGATTCAAAAAAAAATTTCCACTGAAGTTTTGATTATGACAGCATTATGGAGTGCCTATTGGTTTAGAAGCTGCTTTAGTCTTACCTTCACTGAATCCTGAGAAGTGCAGTGATAATGCTTAACATATTTTATGTGTGTATATATATATATATTTTTTTTTCTTTTTTCTGTTTATACTTTAGATAAGAGTGCCCAGGAGTGGAATCTTGAAATAGAGTCTACATTTGATGTTGTCAGTTCAAAGCCAGTTGATGGTCAAGTGATCATAGCCATCCCTAAATTGGAAACACAACAGACGTACAATATTGAACTTCAACCTGGGAAAAGGATTGTTGAGCTATTTGTGAACATTAGCAAGGTGAATGACAGTACTTCCTGAGAAGCACTGGATGAAATGCAATACTGATGCTACAGAAATGATTAGAAAAGAGGCACTGAGTATGAAAGAAAAATCTACTTTATCTGTTTATATTTGTCATTTTCTTCTCTATTTTTAGTCCTCATATATTTTCTGTGAGTATGAGCTAAATAATGACTTTCCCAAATTTTAAGACTAAGAAAATGGAGAACATATCATTATGTTGGCAATTTTTCCTCTCATTGTATTTTCTTATCATTATATTTTAATTTTCTACAGTATTTGCAGTATCCTGAAGCCAAAATATATTCTATGGATTATATTTAAATAGCAGTGGTTATTTTTGGTATTTATCAGTTATTTTGATTATTAATACTTACTCTATACACATAATTCTAATTCTAAACTTATAATCTTTCATACATCAAAGTAGAATGGATTATTTTTATCTTTTCTTTTTCCTTTTTCTATTCCTCTAATTGATAATCGTGTACGGAAAAAGGTGGAGCAAAATAACATTCAGTAGCTGTTGAGATAAAGAACTCAAAATGATTTTTAGTTCTTGGCTTGAAAGAAGAGTCTACTTCAAATTTCCATTCTAAGTGTTAAGAATATAGAGTAACCATAAGCTCAGTGTTAGAGATAGGAAGAGTTGTTTTTCTGAACACCCATGTTATTCTGTTCTTTCCTTTTGCTTTTGATATATTGATCCATGCTAGATTCCCAGCATGCCGTTTTTAAATATTATCAATGAATTGGTATGATTTGGCATAATATAGGTAGGGAGATTTACATTATTTTAGGACCTAGAGTTTTTTACTTGACTATATGAGAAATTGATATAATGTGTTGAGCCTTTTTTTTTTGCTGAAAATATGACGTTAGAGTGACCTTTTAATTTTCTTAAAAGAATATTACTGTAGAAACTTGGTGGCCTCATGGACATGGAAACCAGACTGGGTACAACATGACTGTTCTTTTTGAACTGGATGGAGGCTTAAATATTGAAAAATCAGCTAAGGTAAGTAAGTAATTTAAACTATTTTGTGAAATAATTATATTTCTTTTAAAAATAGTAATATAGATCTTCATGGGAAAAGAAGAAAGCATCAAAACTGTTATGTCCCCACCACTCAGAGATAATCTCCAGTAACAGCATTCAAAAGCTTCCCTGTATGTATTTACATACATTCATACATATACATATGTATTTTCTTTTTTAAATTTTTTTTTTTTTTTTTTTGAGGCAGAGTCTTACTCTGTCACTCAGGCTGGAGTGCAATGGTGCAATCTTGGCTCACTGCAACCTCTGCCTCCTGGGTTCAAGCAATTCTCCTGCCTCAGCCTCCTGAGTAGCTGGGATTACAGGCATGTGCCACCATGCCCAGCTAGCATTTGTATTTTTAGTAGAGATGGGGTTTTACCATGTTGACCAAGCTGGTCTCGAACTCCTGACTAAAGTGATCAACCTACGTTGGTCTCCCAGAGTGCGGGGATTACAAGTGTGAGCCACCGCCCCCAGCCTTATATTTTTAAATAGATCATACTTTAGGTATTATTTTGTCAATAAGTAGTCTCCTGCTATGATTTAAAATTGTACCTTATATCAAAATAATACATGTGTGTAATTTTAAAACTTAAATATTACCAGAAAGTTTATATGAAAAATAAGACCCCTTGCCCAACACTTCATTTTCCTACTTCCTACTCCTCAGAACCAGTAATTTTTAACTTTTATTTCCTCTAACATTCTTCTTCATTTTTCTAAATAAGGTACTTCTACTGGTGTTTTCTGATTTTTCAGTTTTGCCCATTTTAGGGTATAGCACTAAGAATCGGAAAGAACTGGACTTTGTTATTTATTAGCTATAGGCTACTTACTTAATCTCAAAATATATAAAGTCAGTATAATAAAAAGGAGATGGCTTGGATCTGGCTTATAACAGTCATGGCATATAGTTAGCAGAAACGGTATTAACCCTCTTCAAAGATCTCCTCCTCTCCTAGACACTAGCTTTGCTGTTTACATTTGGCTAGTGGCACCTCTCACATTTGGTATTACCTCTCCTGTGGGCCAGATAATACACTAAGGTTGGGGATATATCCTTCAGGAGTTCATTTCCTATTTTTCTTTTGTTCAATCATACTGTGTATTTTCTGAGACATTGTGAATGTATGTGTGTGGTGTGTGTGTGCGTGTGTGTGTGTGTGTGTCCTAGAGAGAGAGAATGAGCGTGTGAGAGCACACACATGCACAGAGTTATGTACACGGAGAATATACTGTATCTGTCTTTAGGACCAAATCATTCACTCTTATTCTAACCCTCTTGGCTGAGAGAATGTGTGCTCTCTCACACAGTGAGTTTGTTTTGTGTTATTTTCATGAAAATGTAAAAAGTCATGAGCCATTCCAACTTATGACAGAGAAAGAAGAGGAATTTCTTTCTTTTTCAAAAGGAAATAATTCTTTTTCATTCAGGTTAATGTGACTGTATTATTGTTCATTACACATAACGATGCAAACCTTTGAATCAAGCAGCAACAGGAGTGAAGGAGGATGTAACTGCCATGCGCCTTGAGTTAATGCCTGTGTGTGAAATGTGCACTTTGGCTGCGGCTGCTGTAGAGTTTGCTAATTTTGAGGCTCACTCATTCAGTAAATACTTAGGGCACACCTACTGTGTTTTGGCTGTTTTGCTATATCCTGGTATAGAGCTGTGACTATGACGCTGCTTCTATTTCTGAGACCTTAGTAGAGCTAATCATCTCCTTGGGAAGTTAAATCATTAAATGAGCCATTGCAATAAATTAGCACTCTAGAGATGAAGAGCGTGCTGTGGAAGTACAGAGCAGGGACATTCTGGGAAGATTCCCAGAGCCTATGTCCCTAGGGATAACTGGAATTTGGCCAAGTAATGTAGCAAAGAGGCAGAGGGAAAAGAATGTGAAGGGCCAAGGACTAGAAAGGATGTTGTGTGTTTTTGGAAGTGAAAGAAATTTCAATGCAGCTGTGGTTGAGTTTGACGTTGAAGAACAAGAGATGGTGTTATAAAAGCACCTAGGACAAGGTCCTGCAGGGCCTAGTGAGACACACGAAGGAACAAGCACTGTCCCTAGGGCTGCCGGGATTCTTGGAAGGATTTTAAGGAGGGGGTAAGGATCATATGCATGTTTTACAAAGATTGTGTAGATCAAGTTGGAAAAACGACGAGAGTAGGGGACCAGTTAGAAGACTCTGGTAGTAATTTAGACACAAAATGAAGATTGGTTGGTCTACAGAATTGCTGATCAAATAAATCTGAAAGAGATTTAGGATATAGTTTCAGCAGGCTTGATGATGTGGGGGTGGGAAAAAAGAAGTTGTTAAGAATGGTTCCTCAGTTGCTGGTTTGGGCTGCTGAACAGATGGCAACTCTGTTCTTTGAGTTCCATTACTCAGAAAGAAGAGAAGGTTTCCGGGAAGGAATTGGGTAGGAATTATTTCAGTGATAGATGTATTTTGTGTGGAGTGATTGAGAAACACCCAAGGAATACTATTTGATGGGTGGTTCATTAGATAGGCCTTAAGCTTAGGAATTGCATCTGGGTTAAGGATATAGATGTGTAAGTCAGTAGAATATAGATAATTGTAGCCATGGTAGTGGATTAACTACCTCATCTGCTGGCACAGAGAAAAGAGCTAGGACAGAACCCAGGCAGCCATAACAAGTAAGGTTGGGGTTTGGAAAGAAGCCTGTAGAGGAATCTAAGAAGGAATGATTGATGAGTTGGAGGGAAAACCAATTTGATTGGGGAGTCACAGAAACTAGTGAGAGAGAGTGTTTTAAGAATGTCTACACACACACACACACACACACACACACACACACACGCACACACATGCACATACACGCACTCATACACCCTCATATTGCCTAGCTTTTCCCACACATTTCCTAATCCTTTCTCAGAGCTCCTGGGAAGAGTGGCTCCCAGTAGCAGTGAATGGATTTAGGACTCATATCTTGATTTGGAATTCTGTATTAAAAGCAATCAGGGCTCTTTGGAGAAATGACTGACTCTCAAGTTGGAGCCTAGAATATCTTGCTGTTCCAGAAAGTAAGGAGATACTCAAGAATGACGTGACATGTTGAAAGGACACAGGGGCCTAAGTCTTCAGTCTTCAATATACTATAATCTTCAAAAATGTCAAGGAAAGCTTGAGGAACTGTTCTATGTTGGAAGAGACTATGCACGAACTGAGTGCAATGCAGTGATCTTTTTTGTCATAATGTTATTAGGGTAACTGATGAAAACTTGAAAGGGGGTCTCTGGGTGATGATCATACAGGAGTTCCTTGTACTATTGCTGCAACTTTATTACAAGTTTGCAATGATTTCAACATAGAAAAGGATACTATTAAGAGAATGAAAAGCAAAAGCAAAATCCTGATGAGAAAGGGCCAGTAGAGAGGGAAAGACTAAAAAGAGTTTGAAAGCAGGGAGGTAGTTGAGAGGGCGAGGTCTCTGGGAGGTAGGAATTAAGAAGAGGATGGATTCACTTTGGGATGAAGCGTTCTGTTTTAGTTGTAACAGTGGTGAAAGAGAACACATGGGAAGAAAGGATGCAGCTTGGGGATGGAAGTAATTTTGAAGGTCTCTAGGACCACTTAAAGTATATTTTCTTTCTATAAGACTTGCAAACTCTTTTGTCAGTGGAGTTTTAGGGTGAAAAAGTAAACCTGAGAAAGAAAGCTAGGGAGTTTTGGTGAAATAACATTTTATTTTTTATTTATTGTGAATGAAATATAACACATACAGAAAAATAAACAGACCATAAATGCAAAGCTTAATGAATGATGAGAAAATGAACACTCACATAACTGTCATCCTGTTTAAGAAACAGAACATTAGTTACTAGCGCTTCACACCTCAAACTCTCCCCTCCCTTTTGTGAGCCTCCCCAATCATGGCCCCTCTTTCCTTCCGGAAGATCCACTGTCCTGACATCCATCATTAGGTTGCTTTTATCTGTTTTTGAATTTTGTGTACATGGAACCATATACCATGTATTCTTTAGTGTCTGGCTAATTTGGCTCAACATCACGGTTTGTGACATTTAGATACAGTTATCTCTCCTTATGTGGTTTCAGTTACCCATGGGCAACTGTGGTCTGAAAATAGGAAATGGAAAACTCCAGAAATAAGCAATTCATGAGTTTTAAATTGCACTCTGTTCTGTGTCGCATGATGGAATCTCGTGCTGTCCTGCCCTGTCTTGCCCAGGACATGAATCATTGCTTTGTTGAGCTTATCCATGCTGTATACATTATCCACCTCTTAGTCACTCGGTGGCCTTCTCCTTCATCAGATAGAAAAAACATAGTATATATGGGATTCGGTACTATCTGCAATTTCAAGCATCCACTGGGGATCTTGGAACGTATCCCCTGCAGATAAGGGGGGACTGCTGTTTGGTGTTCTGTGTAACTGTAGTTTGTCTATTTACATTGTGTAAGATTTTATTATATTACACATTCTGCTGTTGCGATTTGAGTAGTTTCCAGTCTGGGGTATTCCAAGTAATGCTGCTGAGAACATTAGTGATATAATACTCGGAGCACATATGCCCCTGGCAGCATATCTGCTGGGAGTGGAATTGCTTGATTGTGGAGGATGCATGAGTTCAGCTTTTTTAGATTATGCTAAACTGCCATCCTAGGCTCCTTACCAGCAGTAGGTGCTGTGTCAGATGGGACTTTGAACACTGTTTTCTTACCACCAGCCCCTCCTTATCTCACCTCTATTGCTCTTATTTCTTGATGATTTTATTGTTACCCTGGGCTTGCTTTATACAAAAGTAATCTTATTTTAAATGTATCTCATTGAAATTCATCTTGCTCCAGTTTTATATCTTCCTTTCTTGCCTCTCCTCTTCCACTGAACTTAGAAACGTGTTTAGGATTTTTTTAACTGAGTATGTCAGGAGACAGCAGCATATTTGAATCAGACAAAAGGTACTGGGGAAGTCACAGGTTTTGAA